CGTATTTTCTCTTGAAAATACGAGAACTGCTTAATGCTTTATCCGTGCGCTCTTTCATCATCACCTTCGCGTGGGTCCCTTCGCATTGCTCAATTTTGGGCAATGAGAAGGCGGATTCACTTGCGAAGGTGGGCGCTATGGAAGGCGACATTTATGATCGACAGATCGCCTATAGTGAATTTGTCTCTATTTATCGTCAGCAGTCGCTCGTTAGCTGGCAACATCAATGGAGTGAAGGAAGCTTGGGACGATGGCTACATTCAATTATCCCTAAGGTGTCGAAGTTTGCATGGTTCAAAGGGTTGGACTTGAGTCGAGACTTCATACGCGTGATGTCTCGTCTCATGTCCAATCACTATTGTCTAAACGCTCACTTGTTCCGTGTGGGGTTGGGAGACAGCAATCTCTGTGAATGTGGACAAGGTTACCAGGACGCTGATCACATCCTTTGGTCTTGTGCGGAGTATCGTGGAGTCAGATCACATTTTTATGATTCCCTTCGGGCTCGAGGTAGACAACCTAATGTTCCAGTTCGGGATATTTTGGCTAGACGCGATCTGGAGTTTATGAAACTCATATATGTTTACTTTAAGGATATTAACCTTAGATTGTAAGTTTGATTAACCGTGTGTTTAGTTTGTATGTTGTACGTGTGGGGTTTTTTTTCTTCAATGTTTGTTTTCAAGATGAATAGAAATAATTTCATGCTTTAGGATTAAGTAAATAGTTGTATCGTAAACCACATTTCAAACCTCCTTCTTCCCTTTTCCCATCCAAAAAATTGTAAATCTCCACTAACCTCGAGACAACCGCGAGTACTCGGTCCAGTTCCTTTAACTTTAAATATAAGACAGCAATAATGTATAACGCAAAGGATAACTCGGCTCTGTAAAGTTTATTCGATTGAGCCTGTACAAATAAAGTAAATATAAAAAAAAAAAAAAACATTACTGCCATCTGTTGAGTATACTGTGGTGGGCACTACGCTGAACAGATTTTTGTTTCCTTTGGTTTGTTTTTTCCGTCGATCTTGTTTTCCGTGCTGAGCACCAATGCTACCGACGTGCCAGGTGGGCAGCTCCCACACCTGGACCCTACCTATCGAGCCATCAACTCATGAACCGGGGACCAACGGCTTTACTTCCCATCCGAAGGAAGGCGTGATCAGAGATGTTATGCCTCAGAACATCCCGGCGGCGCCGACTGGGATTGAACCCAGGCCTGCTGGGGTGAGAGGTAATCACGCTTACCACTACAACACCGGTGCCGTTCACACTGAACAGATGGCAGTCGTGTGTAAATGTCAAACGCAAGGGCATTGACTATACGCGCCACAGGTGGCGGTACTACCAACTAAGATACTTTTAAATTGTCCGTTAAATGCTTGTTAGATGAACAACTTGCGAGTGTTATGTGTTATGTGTGTAAGGATGCTAAGCCAAACGTCGGCGAGATTGTGAATTTCACGAAATCACTCGACGTTCCGGCTCAAATGAAAGCTTCTTCTCGGCGGAGAAAAGGGGTCGTCAATTAATTATGTCACACATTTAGGGGGAGGGGGGGTTTTGAAAACTATGACGAGCCATACAAAAAAAATTAAGGTTCATACAAAAAATGTGACAAAGCGGGGAGGGGGGGGGAGGTTTAAAATGGGCCAAATTTACGTGACATAATTAATGGACCATCCCAAAAGGACTTTTCATTAAGTTCAAATTCGAAGAATCGATGTTTCATGGCTTGACAGAAGATTTAATATTCGATTATGCGAATGGAAAAACAGCAGCGATACGCATGTCGCATGCTGCGTAATACATCCAATATATGCGTATGTATGACTTACCACAAAGCTCCGGACCATGAGTTAGCGTTATTGCTGGGGAAATATGAGAAAGTAAAACATGTCACCCGGGAGAAGATTCCAACTGACCTGTGCTTCGACATTTACACAGGAGTGCGTGATGTATTAATGGATGTGAAAAAATAAATCCCCTGCTCACTACATTTTCTCAATCGGAAGAGAAATATATGTTATGACAGTAATAAGGATAAATTCGACAGTAAGCATGCATAAAGGCGTAAACGCGATGATCGATTCTCTTCATCGATTTTCTCTTTTGTTAATAACTCGCTAGATTTAACGTTTCTCGGTGCGTTTGCTGTTGCTGAAAAGCCAATACAACCTGTAACAACTCTGCATTGAAAAAATTCTGGAGAATTGTTTCGCTTAGCTGTAGCAATGCAAAGAGAAAATCGATGAAGAGAATCGATCAATGCGTATACGCCCTTATGCATGCTCACTGATGGTTATTCCGAGAGTCGAAGTGACTTTTGTCACTAGTGAAGTGAGAAAAGTCACGTCGTGGTGACGTGACTCTCCATTTGATTTGCACAGAGAGTCACGGCACCACGACGTGACTTTTCTCACTTCACTAGTGACAAATGTCACTTCGACTCTCGGAATAACCCCCACTGTCAAATTCTCCCTTTACAAGACGAACGGTCACCAGATGATTTCCTGCCCCAAACAAAAGACTCGGAAGGAACCAGAGAAGCAACACCAGGACGAAGGATAGCAGCAAAACAAAGCAACAGTAGTACGTATGCTGGTGTAGTGGTGGAAGGTGCGTCCTAGGACAACAACGACCAGAGAAAGAAGAAAGGGGGGGTTATTCCGAGAGTCGAAGTGACTTTTGTCACTAGTGAAGTGAGAAAAGTCACGTCGTGGTGACGTGACTCTCTGTGCAAATCAAATGGAGAGTCACATCACCACGACATGACTTTGCTCGCTTCACTAGTAACAAAAGTCACTTCGACTCTCGGAATAACCCAGACCATCTAGGCATTTACGAAATAGAAATCTCGATAACTTTTTCGAAGGGACGTATCAGCTTTTGTAAACAATACATTTTATCGTCGGTTTTTGATTTGGAGTAACTGATAGCTCGCTCACGCATACTAAAATTTCCCCTATCTGATGGCAGTGTTAGGATGCGTGAGCGAGCTACCAGTTACGCCAAATTGACGATCGAATGCATTGTTTACAGAACCTGATACGTCCCTTCGAAAAAGTAAGCCAGACATATATTTGCTACAAACCACCTTCGTGCGAATTATGCCAAATTTGGACCCATGAACCAAATTATGGATACATACAATAAGCACTGCGATAACATTGACTTTAGCGTTAGCGTTGTTATGATATACTTCGTAGATTGGATACTAGCGACACTCACGTCTCTTCTGAAATTCTCAGTTAGACTACTTTCAGGAATAATGCTGAGGAGTAAACATTGGTTCCAATCTAAACAAGAGTAACAGAAGCATGACTGTCGCTATTCCCGGCCACGCCCATCTTTACCATAACTAGGGATAGGGAAGGAAATGTTGATGTAGTACTTACTTAACGAGAGGCCACCGACTTAGCGACACCCTCATAAGTGCTACGAAGTTGGAGGGTTGGGTAGGGTATTCGGTTAGGATTCACCTCAAGTTGGCGATGCAACCAAAAGTAATTATTGTTTATTTGTTGTTTATTTAATCTCTCGATAGCAGGCTATCGAAGGAACATATTAATTTTGTTTAGTGATAATGAATTTTAAGAGTCATGACGGAGAGCTTGGAATTAAACCCATGATTTTCTGCTCAGTAAGCAAAAACGATCAACCCAGGGTCATCGAGCATCTCAGAACCATAACGCTTCGCGACAATACAGGACTACGTTTTCGCTTGATATGCAAATAGTTTCCGAGGTTAATGTTCAATATCAAATATACAAATGATGGTGGCGATTTATTGTGCTGTGGAAGAGCTTGGGGTTAAATCCATGATTTTCTGCTCAGTAAACAAAATCGATCCCTCGAGGGTCATCGAGCATCTTATAATCCACAGCGCTTCGCGTCAAAGTACGAATATATGGATGAACTATCTATTATTGAATAGCTATTATTTACGATAATTACACGAAATAAATAAAATATAAACTACAAACAAAACGTGACTGCTAAAATCTCAAAAAGATATTCTCACAAATATATTTCACGCCACCAGGAATCTCAAAACCATTAGACGTTGTAATGATACTCTGCACATGTTAGACACAAGAAGAGGCCAAAAAGCAAGCGTCCGACACACAAAACCCGTCAAATCCACTTGCAGTCATAATCAACGATTCTACGAATCGTGAGCGCTCACGAATCATAAAACCGCTGACTGCGACACTCTGAAAGCGAAATTGACAGGCTCTATGCGTCAAACATCCGCCCTCCAATCTCCTTCCGCATCCAACAGCACAAATCTCCATTACAACATCTAACGAATTCAAAACTCCGAAAATCACTCATCTATAGCAAGTGAGTGGAAGCAACCCTGGAGGGACTGCGATAACATTGACTTTACAATGACAAAAACCAAATTAAAGCAATATTTTAATTCCTCGAGTAACGTCAGCTAGTAGTAGTAGACAAAGATTGTAAAAAATTGCACTTAAGGCAACTATTGTAAAACGGTCTACACTGATTGACGACAAACAAATAAATAAATAAATCACTTAGGTATATGTAGAACAACTCATAGACTCAATAATGATCCCACTGCTCTTCCCTAGCAAATTACTCATCATTATACAAAACACCACAGTGGCAATCAGCTTTGTAAGTATTTCATACATCTGAATCGATAACCTTACAAAAATAAAGCTTACGCAGTGAATAATCATTCCTTATTTTGCAACGACAGCCGGCAAACAATCAAATATGGAAGTGGTGGGTTCGATTCCAGGACTGTAAACAAAAAATCGAGATGGACATAGGATAACATTCTGCTTGCAACAAATACACAAAATCATACAATACAATTAAGAACATAGAATGGTTTGTAGAAGCACTGTAGAAGTGCTTAATTGAAAACATGTATAGCAGAAGTATAACTGTTAGTATGAGCGTATTAAACAAGGAAGAATATTCTGCTACATGCCTAACCTACATACAGGTCTATATTAAAAAAAAAGTCGAATGCCTATCACAGCACAAAACGGAACTCAAAACTGAACTAACAGCATCACGTGTAATCAAATATGGAAAGTTAAATCAGTCATCAGTTTACCGTCCTCTCGAACAGCTCGTTGATTAAAATATTCAAAACGTACGATTAGTCACCCCTAGAGTAACATGAAATCAATTTGCTTCATTTTGTGCTGCGGAGTTATTCTGGGTTGCCAAGGTTACACGGCAATCTTACTAAACGCTGAAAATAAGGGTACAAGAAATTATAAGTTATACACCGATTAGTATTGAAACAGTTTTTAAGTAATAAACTTCCAATATTACAGACTTTCCTGGAGATTGTTATGATCCCCAAACTGAAATCCATTTCAAACCTACTGAAGCCCGTCAAAGGCCCGGACTATGTGAGGAAATGACATGTGGAAAGGACCTTTCCATCAATTACTACGGGTAAGTAGTACCCCATTGAACATCCCACCGATTTTTCCCCGAATAAGACGAGTTTCGTCCGTGTGTTCGACCGATTTTGATTCCGAAGATTCAGTCGATTGTTGCACCGACGGTAGACCAAATCAAGCCGAACAATGAGATAGGTCCTAAGTAACATTGATCAATCGATTTTCTCTTTCGGCTTTAAAACCTTATCATGGTTGCCGTTTTAATAAGATGCTAGATATTTTTTTTAACTTTCACCTAGAGCTTTCATATTATGAAACTTTTTAGTTATAGCTCTTACTTTGTACCTGGAATCATCAATTTGTGATCAAAATTTTACCGTTGGAATAGGCTTTTAAAGTTTTTTTCAAAATGCTTGTAAGCTTCCAAAAGGTTTTGGAACTCGGGTCTAATCTCGAATCATTATTTTCAAAAGTTTTGTTCCTCAGGACAGAGAATCGCTTTTTAATTTGTTTTTTTTTCAAATCCCACCAGATAACTTTCATGCCAGGATCACGTGTTCTTTGATATTGCCTCCTAGGGACATTTTTCAGACGGATCAAGAGCTGAAGATCATCGTCTATTATAATTGAATCGAATTCAACCTCGCTTTTTGATACATTTTGGTACATTTTGCTTCAACTAAAGTCAGAGAATCAAGAGCATTATTAATATCATCTTTGGTTTGTAAAGGAATATTTGGATCGAATTTATATTCCATAAATGATAGTTATTGCTGCCAATCAGCTCTATGGTAATTGAAAGCAGAGCTATTAGGATTATCGATCTCAGTTGATGTACGTTTTTATGGTTCCATCTGAGACTCGAGTAGTGTAGTAGTAGTCAAGCAGTTCAGTCCGGTTTTGGCTCGCTCAGTCGAGTTGTTCGAGTTGCGCGTTTGTTCGAGTTGCGCGTTTGTTTGCGTCGTAGTGCCGGTCGCATCGCGTGATGGGAAGGCAGCGCTCCCGGAGCAAGCTCTGAAAGTGGAGAACAATGGTGAAGATAGCTCGTGCGTACCTATCACAAATAGGTACGCTACTCTTCACACCGATGTTGGAAATACCCCACCAGCGGAGGTGAAGCGAACGAAGAAAAAGAAGAAGAATCAGGGCCAGTCCGATGGTGCGAGTGGCCGCGACACCGTGATGAACGTCAGCGACATCGGTGATTTCGACGTTACCGTCGATGATGAAAATTCTGCCGTCCCGAGTGCTCCACTGGTGGTGATGAAAGTGACACTCAGCACGCTCATTGGATCTCACATCGCTGGGCGTTGCAGCTGAATGCAAACTGAGCAGGATCAGCACCAAGGTGATGCTGCGTACCAAAGAGGAGTATGAAGCAACCGTGAAGTACCTGAAGAATTCCAGGGCGGAATACTTCACACATGACATCCCCGGTGAGAAGCCCTTCAAGGTAGTCATCAGGGGCTTACCGAACTTCAGCCCTAAGTCGATCGAAGAAGAACTCAAGGGCCGTTACAAGCTAGCCCCAATCGGATGATGAGGCGAGACGAAAACGTGAAAACGTGAAAACGTACCCGGATTACCTTTTCCTGGTGCATTTTCAGAAGGGTACGGTGACGCTCAATGCGTTGAAGGCCATCCGCTCCATCTACATCATTGTTCAATGGGAGCCATAACGTGGCGGCCGTCACGACGTCACCCAGTGTCAGCGTTGCCTGAATTTCGGGCACGGCACCCGAAACTGTTACATCAAGCCACACTGTGGAAAATGCGCCCAAAATCATGTCTCCTCCGAGTGCGTTGTCGACGAGTCGGAAACGTGCAAATGCGCCAACTGTAGTGGAGCTCATCAAGGGTCCGACAAACAGTGCCCCAAACGTGAGGATTTCAAGCGGATCCAAAAGCAGGCGTCCACAAGAAGCCAACCAGGACAGAAGAAAGAAAACACTCCGACATTCAGGGTGGAGGACTTCCCGCCACTTTGTGCTACGCAACACGGTCAAGAAAATCCACGGATGCAATCCGGCCCCCGTCAAGAAACGTCTGGTGCCTCACCTGGACAAAACTCTCCATCCCCCTGGATTCTGGAGACAACTACCAGCGCAAAACGCCAATCCCGATCTCTTCTCTGCGGATGAGCTGATGAAGATTTTCGTCGACATGACCAGCGCTTTTCGTCAGTGCCGCAATAAGTCCGAACAAATCCAAGTGCTCGTTAAGTTTATCATTCAGTATGGCGTAACTATCGTCACTTGGAACGCTTCCTCTGTGCGAGCTAAAAATTTCCACAAGCACAATATCGACATGGGCCTCCTAGCCTAAGGCGGCGGGTTCGATTCCCGGTCCGGTCGAGGGAATCTTTCGGGTTGGAAATTTTCTCGACTTTCCTGGGTATAGCGTATCATTGTGCCTGCCACACAATATACAAATTCATGCATTGGTAATTGGCATCAAAAGCTCTCAATTAATAACCTCGTTAATAACTGCATTTAAAACACTAAGTTGAGAGCACGCAATAAGCTAATATGCACTAAGCAATAAGCTTAAAATGCGAATAAGAAGAAGAAGAAGAAGAAGAAGAAGCTATTAGGATTAGACATTATCTCTTGGGAGATTTCAAAAGTTACTGGTCAGAACCAATTGGTGTAACCAATTGGCTACAAAGTTGACATGAATCAGTTAAGACCAAATCAATAGTTGATGGATTTCTTGCTGAAGAAAAGCATGTTGGGTTGTTTGGATATTGAATAGTGGTTCTACACCCCATGCACAGTGCCATGGTTCTATACAGTGAAAGGTTTGATATCCGATGCCTGTGTTGTAGTGGTAAACGTGGCTGCTTTCTCAGCCCAATGGGTTTGGGTTAAATCACAGCCGAAGTCGGTGGGATTTTTCTGAGGCATAAAAATCTCTGGTCACGTCTTCCTTCGGAAGGGAAGTAAAGCCGTTGGTCCCTGCCCATATGTGTTGAATGAGTGCGATCCTACGCAGGTGTGGAAGCTGCCTTCCTACACATTCGATTGCCGTCAATGGATGGCAATCAAGGTCCGTTGGTGATTTTCACTAGATTGCGGAACAGCGACCGACGTTAAATAGAGGAATAAAAAAATGTCTGAAGGAACTTCCTGAAACTTTCGGAAGACACTTCCAAAAGAAGAAAGAAAGTGCCCTTTTTACGATCATCTCAGTTGGACCTTAGTAAGAAGGTCGACAAGTTTAAATGGCCTGCAGTTGAAGTGGTGATCCCTGGACGAAAAAGGGCTTGTGGCGACCCAAGCCCTCGGTCAGTGATTTCGTCTCTGTGCACACCGGACTTAGTGCATTTTTGGTGGCTGCTAATTGCAGCGAAGTAAGTCCTTCGGTGGCCGGCAAAGTTCTTGATCGAACACTAAAGATAATACTGTAACACACAACCACACTACATTCATTAGTATACTAACTGTTTGGGATCAAGAAAGGGACATTAGAAGGAATTTTGGGATAAGCAAATGCGGAAGAAATATATCGGTAATATTTTGGGAAATTAAGCAAAGAAAAGGTTGACTGCCTGTCTCCAGGTCTTTTCCACTTGGGCTATCAAGCAGTACGGATCGAACAGTACCAAAGTTAAACCAAAAGTACCATTAATTTGTACAAGTTATTAAGAAACTATTGTGTTAGTGGAAAAGTTATCAAAATAGTCAGTGATCTTATTAAATAATCAGTTATAAAGTCAGAAATCCATAAGTCCAAAAGTCAAACCCTTAGTAATTCCTTCTTTAGTTTCCCAACATCATAGGACCCATTGGTATTTTTACCAAAGTGAGTCCTCGCATAACCCCATGAAACTGCGGTAGGCAGTAGGCCAGTGCGGGTACCCCGTATTACGATCGGCCTCGGTTGATACCAGGTACGGCAGAACAACCCAAGTAACCAAAAGTTCTGATAAAAGGCTATTTGTGGCTTAAGCAGCTTGGTTGGTGTTAGTCTATAGAATTCTAAGCAGCCTCATTTTTAAGTCGTTATAAGAAATTGAAAGTTCCGGTATCATAATTGAAGAGCATTCTAAGCAACTTCTGGCGGAACTTGAACGGAACTTTTAGAAAATATTAAAAAAGGTTTTTGTCCTCTACACCAATTCTATATTTAGTTCGCACTTTTATGAAAGTTATTTCTAAAGGCAGGTATTAATGTGTATTGATTTATCAGCATTAGTAGTAGAGAAGTGGAGCTGTTTGAAGAATTAAAACCCAGTCCTTCTGCGTGAGAGTTCCAGCACGAACCACTGCGTCATCTGAGATATAATAAAGTGAGCTGTTGTCCCGCCAAACTGTTGGAGTTTTCAGTCCAGCTGACTGACTTGAATACGAAGCACAACACCTTGATGAATTTTAAATTGGTGTTTGCCCGCATCGTATTCCAACACATTTGTGGCGCAGTGGTTAGCGTTCGTAGATCGCATGCCGAAAACACGGGTTCGAATCCAGGAAATTACTTTTTATTTATTTTTTATGTTTGGATAGAATGTTGATGCACAGCATAAATATAAGAATTATGATTTATTCGGGCCACTGATCATTTCATAATTACGTACATTAAATTTTGTTACTAATAAAGACTTGTGCGGATTGCTTCATGTGGCTTGAAAGTTTTGTCAGAATATTATTTGAACTTTATGGAACTTGAAAGTTCTGTCGGAACTTTATTTGAACTACATGGAACTTGAAAGTTCTGTCGGAACTTTATTCGAACTTTATGGAGCTTGAAAGTTCTGTCGGAACTTTATTTGAACTTTATGGAACTTGACGGTTCGGTCGGAACTTTATTTGAACTTTACGGAACTTGGAAGTGATTTTAATCGTTGAATGCGGAACTTTTGGTTACTTGGGAACATTCTCCTCTCGGTGGCCACGTGTATGTGGACCAATCGTGTGAGCCTGCAGTTTTCCCAGCTCGTCGTTGAACGAGCTAAGAGCGAGCTCGACATTCACTTTATTAGTGAGTCGAAAACGAAATTAAACCCTGCAGATAAATCTGGTTCCGGCAGCTCCATGTTTCTGGGCAATCCAA